TTCATTGCCTTGAGTTATTTATAAAGTAATAAAGGCAGGATTAGAAAAAAATCAGCAGGGATGCGGCGGCTCAGTGACTAAGACACTGAGCTTGTTGATCAGAAAGGTGGGCAGTTTGGCGGTTTGAATCCCTAGCGCTGCGTAACGGAGTGAGCTCCCGTTACTTGTCCCAGCTTCTGCCAACCGAGCAGTTTGAAAGCATGTAAAAAAACAGGAAACACCTTTGGTGGGAAGGTAACAGCGCTTGGTGCGTCTTTGATGTTTAGTCATGCCGGCCACATGACCACAGAGACGTTTCCGGACAGCGCTGGTTCTTTGGCTTTGAAACGGAGATGAGCACCGCCCCCTAGAGTCGGGAACGACTAGCACATATGTGCGGGGGGAACCTTTACCTTTACCTATCCTATGGCTTAATTTGTAATAGAATATACCCCATCTTACACAAAGAATGTCATAGCAATAAAGGTTTGAAAAATGGTAGCTGAAAACTACTTCAGAGGACATTCTGTAGGAGGGAGGTTTATGAATTTTATGAATTAAGACAAAACGACTTTGGCAAATACATGGTGGGAATGACACATGTCATCAGAAGAATAGCAATAGCACTTCATAGTGCTTTGCTCTCTAAACTAACAGTTTAGAGTCAGCATATTGCCCCCAACAATCTGGGTCCTTTATTTTACCGTTTACCATTCTCCAGAAGAATGGAAGAGTCAACCTGAGTCCATCAAGATCAAACTCATTGCAGTAAGCAGAGTCAGCCTGCAATACTGCATTCTAACCAATCGCACCAGTATGGAAAGGAGGAGGAGGATGGAGGAACAGCAGAATATGAGATTGAATGGAGAGAGGGAGGGGTGTCTCCTGCCTGCTCCCATAATAGGAGAATGTGAGGCCATCCAGCCCAACTAGGCCAACAACAGGCCAAAGAAACTATTTGACATGAGACATATTGAACTTGTTTACCACACGATTGCACATGATTATTTGGCTGGTATGACTGGGGGTTGCTTAGGAGACAACTGGCTCATTATAGCTATCTGACCCTACTATGGGTCAGACAATCTCTCTTGCTGGATATCATGTCCTTAGGAAGTGGGAAATGAAAGGACCTGTTTCCTTCATATATTCTTAGTGGGTTTTCTGGAAGTATCTGGTTCTTCTCTGTAAGGAAAAAGATGCTGAATCTTTGGTTAGAACCTGCAGGGCTATTGTGACTGTTTGTATATTGTACGGTTATCCATCACTTTCAATGCATTTTAAAAAGTGTATCCATATTAGAAGAATTAACACAAGGAACCTGGTATGCCCAAATACGGGAGGGAGCATACTGCTTCCCTTTTACCTTTCAGTTCCACCCTAGGAGCTGAAAGGAGCAGGCAGAAAGCGATTTTTGTGTTGCATTTGTGCTGATAAATAAATAAAGAGAGAGCAGTATAGATCTATTTCAAGCTATTTAGCTCTCATCAGCTAGCCATACCCTTACTGGGTTTTCAAACCTGGGCTGTTTTAACATGTTAGGCAGTTGTATTAGCCTCTAAGCTACAAGCTTTCCTCCCTTATCAGCTGAGCCAAGGAAATGATTAAGTGTTATGTTAAAGCACCTGGTATGCCCAAATATGGGAGGGAGCATACTGCTTCCCTTTTGCCTTTCAGCTCCACCCTAGGAGCCTTCCAGGCAGAAAACTGGCATGATTTTCAACTATAAATATAAATACAACTGTAGTTGTATGTATGTATATGTATGTGTGTGTGTATATGTGTGTGTGTGTGTGCGCGCGCGCGCACGTGTGTGTGCTGATAAATAAATAAATAAATAGTAGTATAGATCTATTTCAAGCTATTTAGCTCTCATCAGCTAGCCATACCCTTACTGGGTTTTCAAACCTGGGCTGTTTTAACATGTTAGGCAGTTGTATTAGCCTCTAAGCTACAAGCTTTCCTCCCTTATCAGCTGAGCCAAGGAAATGATTAAGTGTTATGTTAAAGCACCTGGTATGCCCAAATATGGGAGGGAGCATACTGCTTCCCTTTTGCCTTTCAGCTCCACCCTAGGAGCATTCCAGGCAGAAAACTGGCATGATTTTCAACTATAAATATAAATACAACTGTAGTTGTATGTATGTATATGTATGTGTGTGTGTATATGTGTGTGTGTGTGTGCGCGCGCGCGCACGTGTGTGTGCTGATAAATAAATAAAGGGAGACTAGTATAGATCTATTTCAAGCTATTTAGCTCTCATCAGCTAGCCATACCCTTACTGGGAATCGAACCTGGGGTATTACATATCAGGCAGTTATATTAGCCACTAAGCCACAGGCCACAGCTTACTGCTTCCATTCTCTGTCTATCAGCTCATCACAAGAGACCATCACGATAGAAAGCCATTATTTATCAGCACAAATGCAACACAAATGTAACAAAGGCAACAGTAAAAATAATGGATATACATACATACATACATACAT